GGTCGTTTAGGGCACTTTGAATTGTGCCTGGTAGGAAACAGGCAGCCAGTGGTGCTGAAGTAACATGGGAGTTGTGTGATGGCGCAAGTGGCGCCACCTATATGTAGCACTGTAAGTTGCAGGTTTTGAACTGTTGTATCATGCCTGATTTTGCCTTTTTACCCTGTAAATGTATAGTTGGATTGATTGGTTATTTATAGCTGTCAATCAATGTTGTTTGCACCAGTTATATTGCTCCTCAGCTCAATTGTTTGGCTCCACCTCTTCCTGGAGCAGGACAGTGTTTCCTTTTTCATTCCACCATCAAACTTTCTATCAGATGGATGTGAGAGAGAGACTTGGCTCTAAAAGCCCTTGATTAAGTTACCTCTCAGCACCAATTCTGAGGTTCTTACCCTTGAGACTTATGCTTCATGTTCAGATCAACCTGGACGATGTTGAGAAGTCTCAAGCACCTTCAAACTAGTTCTTTGGCACCAGAGGAAGACTTTGTATCTTCATAGGCCATTTGGACTGGGGTTGTGGATTGCTCCAGCATTCACAGCCATTGAGAAAGAGGGACCTGGAAAAGCTTGTCAGCTGCAAAACCCTTTGGACCCAAGACAACCAGAGACTGTAATGTATATTTTCCTTTACCCCCTTGAAACTTCCAGCTTATTGCCTTAAAGGGATAACTCTTTGTGAACAATAAAACCTATTTTGAGTTATCTACAGTGTTTTGGTCCTTGGGAGTTCCAGTTTCCCTAAAGTAGGGCAAGAAGCAATCCCCTGGGGAAAGATGTCACGTCCATGCCTCTTTCACTAAGAGTTATAGCCCCCAGGCGCGATGGCACAAGTTGTGTGTTCCTGTATGTTATTAACATGGCTGCCACTCATTGGACTATTTGAAGCTTCCAAACAGTCTTCAAAAGCAACCCCATGTAGAGCACATTGCACTAGTCTATTCTGGATGTAACGAGAGCAGGGCCACCATGGTGAAGTCTGACTTCGCAAGGTATGGGTGCAACTGGCACATAAGTTTTAATTGTGTCAAAGCCCCCCTAGCCAATGTCGCAACTTGAGGTTCCAGGCTCAGCACTGAGACCAGGAGGACTCATAATGCCAGAATCCATATCCATGGTTTCACTTACTTGAGAAAAACAGTTAAATGCACAACAGAGAGGAAACAAACAAGGACATCTAATCACCTCTCAACAAAAGTTTGCTCCAGGCACTATCAGGTCATTATATGCTAATTAAGGTGGTCAGTTGAAACATTCACATGTAGCTCCAGCAGACAAGAGTCCTTTGTCCCATCCTGGTCATTCCACAGATATATAAACCCTTTTTCCTAGTTCCAACAGGCCTCACTACCCCTGAGGATGCTTGCCATAGATGCAGGCGAAACGTCAGGAGACAATGCCTCTAGACCATGGCCATATAGCCCAAAAAAACCTACAACAACCCAGTTAACTGCTCTGCTCCCCTTTTAGAAAGTGCTAAAAGAGTATAGATGCATCCCAGTAGGCTCAGCCTAGAGCAAACTATGTTAGCAACTCCTGGCTTCTTATTCAAAAACCTGGACTACACTCTGAGGCACAACTGGAGAGCTAAATAAGGAAAGCAAAAGAGCCAAGGAGTGGGTCTTGAGAGCTATGCAAGGGGCAAAGGAGTCAAAGTGCATGCACATCTGGTGAGCCACATACACAAGTCAAAGAAGAACCAGTCCATTGACTCTTATCTTGTTAAAGATTGAGAGCCCAAGAAGAGAAGGGAAAAGAGTGCTTCTACTGGAAGCCAGAAGGACTTGTTTGGATTGCCTTTCTCCTTGAATTGCAAGCAACCTAAATATTATCCTTCCTTGTTTGAAGCTGGCTGGTGATGCATAATACTATGTAGAAAATGGTGAACCTTCTTGGAGGTCACCTAGAGATTCAGAGGCCAAGGAGAGAGTTGGACTGTGGAATCTCACAACTCACATTGGTAGCGCCCTATGCTCTGCCAACCATAACCAAGTTTCTTTTTTAGTACAAAGCTGACCTTTTTAACCAGGAAGAACAAAGGACAAAAGGGGTCTCTGTGCACAAAAGCCGTCTGTCTCTGCAGTTATTCACGGGCTGAAATGAGAGAACTAAAGTCCCTTTCCAAATCATCTAAGAAGCAGCTATCAATAAGAGAAAGAACAGATGTTTACCCAGATCATAGAGGGATAGGGAAGATGCAATGAGCCATGCAGAGTCTTAGAGGCCTACACCTTACAACGCTTGACAGATGTAAAGCATCAGAGTTACGTTGCATTAAGTGACCAAACACATCTTCTTAAAACCTGGAGCAAGTAAGCATGTCTTTTTGGCTAGTGGTTTGTCGAGAATGATTTCCCCCGAGGGAACTGCTGAAATGCTAAAGTGAGAGTAGCCAGCTTCTTAGTAATGTCCAGAAAAGAGACTGTGCAATGCTGCCAGGATGGAAGACATAACAATAAAAGGAAAGGGACCAAGTAAGTCCTCACTTGGGGTTGAATCTACACTATTTATTTAATGTAAAGATTTTTATCTCCATCTGTTTCCCTTGAAGGAATGTAAGAGACGAAATCCATTCACAACCTGAAACAGCTCACCAATAACCAGCAGTGATGACGATTTGTCAAACCAGCAGTTGATGAAACAGGCAAAAATTAATTAAATTATCAATTAATTATGAAATATTTACATTTTGTCTTATATCTGAAAAAAAATCTCAGAGCAGATCATAGCAAAATCAATATAACACAAAAATAATAACACTAGCCATAATGTGCAGATGGAAATGGAAGAGGTATGGTATGTATGGCTATCCGGTGGTGCCAAACTGGGTTAAAGGGTCAGTGTAGATGTGCCTGTTGAGTATAGAAAAGCATATCTAACATGGGACAAAATACTGACATCAAAAAAAGAAGAAAACAACCGAAATCTACAAAATTATTCTACAGTGGTCAATGGAAACAGAACAGGTAAAAGACTGCTTGACAATGTGCTTGCACACATTGGACGCACTATAAAAATGGCAGATTTGGGGAAGATTTGGAATATTCAATTAAAATACACATATTCAAATGACCTTAAAGAAAATTGGTACAAGTTGATGTACCAGTGGTACAGGACTCCCCAAAAATTGGCCAAGTGTTACAAAAATATCCAAGACCAATGCTGGAAATGTGAAGCTCAGACAGGTACCTTTTACCATATGTGGTGGGGATGTAAAATTGCAAAAGTCTATCGGAAAAGCATTCACAAAACTATACAGGAAATATTGAAAATGAAATTCCAAATGAAGCCAGAATATTATCTATTAGAATGACAGATAGAATCACGAGATTTTATTTAACAACCTGACCACAGCAGCGAGGATCATATACAGTGTGCGAGGAAATAGACGGCCAAAGATTATCCAACTAGAGAAGAATAGATACTGAAAATATTTGATATAATGAATATGGATAAGTTAACATATTACCTAAAAACCCACCAAGGCAAACCAAAGGTAGCAACAGACTAGACTTTATTGAGAAAAAAATGAAATCAGTTTGTGCAGGTACAACTGCACCAGGAGCTCCAATTTTGTTTGCTTTGCATTTAATGTTTGTTGTAGTCCTAAGGTTCAGGGACTCTGCAGATAGGTGGCTTCTTTTGGCTGCAATCATAGGGCAAGCCACCTGTCAATTATAGTTAGGTTCCCTGGTCCCGCCCCCTTTTGGGGGTTTTGGTGGGAATAGGAGCCATTTTGAGTTCAGTCCACACAGAGAAGCTTTCCATGCAGGACATAATACCAAGAGCTCCTGTAGAAAGCTTCGTCTTCTACGGCATGGCCAGGGAGATACAGCCCCACAGCTTGGCCGGGGTTATACAGCCCACAGCTTGGCCGAGGATCATACAGCCTTACAGCTCCTTTGCTGAGGGACTTCTGTCAGCCATCACCGAAACCTTTTCCTCTGGAAGTCTACAAAGCTCTGCTTGGTAAGGGTCACTCGCGGAAGCCAGAAGCAGATGGTACCGGGTGTAGGGGCTCCACGCCATCAGAGGCAAAGACAGACTGCCCAGATTAGAAGTTAAGGATTTCCCCATTAGTTACAGTTTATGAAGATAGTGCCTGTTCCCAGTGGACAAGATTGAGAGAGCCAATAGACTGTTAAGAAAGCCTTAAAGTACCTGTTTGTTTTCATCAATAATAAAGAACTTTGTTGAACCTTTAAGCAATCTAAAGACTCTGTTTTAAGGAAATCCAAGGCCTTTAATCTGAGGCAGCCCCGGCGTCCCATTGGGCACACAGAATTTATGTCCTGTCTACAGTCTTATGCACAGGCCCAGCGTGCGACAGCACAGATATATATATATATATATATATATATATATATATATATATATATATGATGGAATGGAAAATATGCTATATACTAAAATAGATACTATTTTGTTGTATGCAATAGTTGCACTTCCCCACCTTTACTCTCACTCTCCATCCCCCCCCCCCCAATATATTTGAAATAAAATTATTTTAAAAAAGCATATCTAATTGACTTTGCTCCTGGGGGAGCATGTGTATTAAAATGTATATTATATTTTGTGCATACAAATTTTGAGCTTTTTGGTGTGGACGCTAAGCATTTTAAAATTGTAAGAATTGTCCAGGTAGAAAACACAATTTAATTGAGCCTTATGGCAATAGCAATAACCCAGCAAACTATTCATGTGTGTAAGCTTAAAATGTAAACCATAAAGGTAATATCTGTCTCGTATGATAATCAGAGATATACAGCCTTTGTATATGGCATCTCCAGCTAGCAAATCTCCCATTGTATAACTTTCTTTCTATACCATTGGAATTGAATGTCATTAATGCACTACCTATACATCCCAATATCTGAGAACATTAGGATGTTCACATTAACAAGGACAAACCTAGAATTGCTACCAAGGCAAAGTGAATAAAAGCATCAACGGACACATTAGAAAGGCATTAAAATTCAAGCTTGTATGTTTAGTTACCTGTTGGAAAGATCTAGGAATAATCCATCAAATGAGCCTTGAAGTATGCAGTCTTAACCTGGTCATATGCTAACTGCAGTTTACCTGGTGAAAAAGAGAAACAACAGAGTTCAGTCTTCTGGAGCATTTTTATTTTTCTTGTGAAAAACTAAATAACACCAAAAATAGTAACAACAGAAAGAATGATGGGCATCTTCCTTAGCAAAACATGACTTCAGAATAGCTACTGCTCCAGTTTGGTTATATAATAACCATTTTGTATGGATAAAGACCACTCTGGGGATTATATTGTGTTGTATCCTCAATAAAGTCTCCAGGAAATGAACAGATGAATGGAATCTGAAGGCATCAAAGAAGTAAAGTAACACAGAATTTTGCTAAGCATTAAAGAGTTTGCATTGGCTTTACAAGGAATGCTGATACTGTTGAGGCACCTTGGATTGTTTGATGCAAATTTCGTAATCACATCAATGGAAATCAATTATTGGAAGAATACTTCTCAGTATTGGAAAGCTCTTGTGCATAACCAGGATTACCTGACCAGGCATCTCAGGAGCAGTTGGAATTTTGTGCAGCAAGACCAATGCTGCTGAGAAGTCTGTCCTGGTAATCCATCTTATATACAAGAGCTGTCCAATAGCTTCTCAGTTCACTTTGAGAAGTATTCCTCCAATGATTGCTTTCCGTTGGGTGTGATTACTGGATCAGATACTACCCATTCTGTGTTTACATGGTGGAAAACTCAACTTTTATGCAACACAACGTGCTATAGAAGGCACCTCTGCTCCGGTATGATGGCAACACATGAAACAAAGAAAGCTTTCTTCTCTGCACGCATTGTGCCTGTGTATTCACATCCAGTGAGCTGTTCAGAGTCTAGCATAAGAGCTGACTTAAATGGAATCACTGGAGCAGAAGCCAACAACAAGGTGTCCAGCAACTCTAAGAGTGGGATTACACTGGATCAGTTTCAACTGGTGACTACTGCTGATGTGGACAAGTTGCTGGGGGAAATAAGGACGACAACCTGCTTTCTTGATCCCTGTCCTTTTTGGCTGGTCATCCAGAGAGAAGATGCAATTTGATCTCAAATATTTTATAATTATAAGTGCATCTCTCAGGGAGGGGAATTTTCCTTCCTGTTTAAAAGAAGCCCCCCCCCCCCCCCGGCTCTCCTGGATCTCAATACTTACAGACTAGTCTCTAACCTTCCTTTATTGGGCAAAGTGATTGAGAAAACAGTTGCCCTGGATGACACACATTTCCTTGACCCATTTCAAACTGACTTCAGAGCAGGATACAGAGTTGAGACTGCTATGGTTGCCTCTCTGATCTCTGTCTCAACACCAACAGAAGGAGTCTGTCCCTGTTGGTGCTTCTAGACCTCTCAGCAGCCTTTGGTACCATCGGCCGTGGTATTGTTCTGGAATGACTGGAGGGGCTGGGAAACAGAAGCACTATGATGTAGTGGTTCTGGTTGTACCTCTCAGGCAGGATCCAGATGGTGGCACCTGGGGATAGCTGCTTTTCAACAAAGGAGCTGTTATGTGGCATCATCCCACAAGGTGCCATTTTATCCCCAATGCTTTTTAATATTTACATGAAACTGCTGGTAGAGATCATCCATAGGCATGGGGTGAGGTGTTATCAGTATGCTGATGACACTCAAATATATTTTCCCATGCCTTCAAAAAAACAGCTTCAGCTAAGAATAGCATGTCTCCTGGAATGCCTGGAAGAGGTAATGGGCTGGATGAGGAAAAGAAATTGAACTGAATCCAGACAAAACAGAGGTGCTTGCCATCAAGGGGCCTAATCCAATGGGATTGTGGCCTGCATCAATAGGAGCATAGGGTCTAGATCTAGGGAAGTAATGCTACCCCTCTATTCTGCTTTGATTAGACCACATCTGAAATATTGTGTCCAATTCTGGGCACCACAATTCAAGAGAGATATTGACAAGCTGGAATGTGTCCAGAGGAGGGCGACTAAAATGATCAAGGGTCTGGAGAACCTATGAGGAGCGGCTTAAGGAGCTGGGCATGTTTAGCCTGAAGAAGAGAAGGCTGAGAGGAGATATGATAGCCATGTATAAATATGTGAGAGGAAGCCACAGGGAGGAGGGAGCAAGCTTGTTTTCTGCTTCCCTGGAGACTAGGACGCGAAACACTACAAACGCTTCAAACTACAAGAAAGGAGATTCCATCTGAACATGAGGAAGAACTTCCTGAGTGTGAGAGCCGTTCAGCAGTGGAACTCTCTGCCCTGAAGTATGGTGGAGGCTCCTTCTTTGGAAGCTTTTAAATAGAAGCTGGATGGCCATCTGTCAGGGGTGATTTGAATGCAATATTCCTGCTTCTTGGCAGGGGGTTGGACTGGATGGCCCATGAAGTCTCTTCCAACTCTTTGATTCTATGATTCTATAATCTGGGGATTAAGGTGTGTCAACTAGTTCTGGATGGGGTTACACTCCCCCTGAAAGACTGTGTCTGCAGATTAGGATAAGGGTTCCTGGATCCGTCTCTCCAAATGTCAGCCTAGGTATATACAACGGTCAGGAGTGCTTCCTACCAGCTTCTGATGATACGCCAGTCGTGCCCCTTCCTAGATTTGGAGAACCTAAAGACGGTAGTGCATGAACACATCAAGAAGAACCTCTGCTGTCTGCCAACTTGTTGGCCTTATCAGAAGCAACATCATCAGCAAGATTTTTCTGGGGATATGCTTCTAGTTGGTGAAGCAACAAAGAAAGGCAGTCCCCAGGAGACCAAGACACCAGCGCCAATGTTCTGTTAGTCTGGCTGGATATAGAGACTGGAAAAGGGCTTCAGGGTGCTTGCATGGTGACATGTGCTTGTTCAAAGCCACATTGTATCCATACAAGGCCCCCCTAAGCCGCAACTGCAGTAGGGGAGAGTGGCTTGATAGCCAAGCTGTGCCAGTTCATTCAGCAGGGCTTTAGAGGGTTTAGACCCCTTTCCTCCTCCAAATCACTTTCAGAAGGATGAAGAATGAAGAAAGAGGAAGGGAAGACCCTGCATTGATGGTAAGAGAAGATTATCTCTCATTTTCAGGAAAGGGGGACAAATGGGGGTGCTGGGGAACAGGAAGGTGTCACCATCCCACCTCCCTAAGCTGCAATTGCTTCTGTGATTCTGGTAAATCAAATGAAACATGGAAAGCACTGGCAATTAGTTATGCATTGTTCCAAAAATCTGCTTTATCAATTATAAGCCCATGATCTGCCTGACTCATTTAGCCAGAGAGTAAGCTGGCATCTTTAAGGTGTGCTTTAGTTGTGAATGTATCCCTGAATGCTAGGGGATTGGACTAGATGTCCTTCATGGCCCCATCCAATTATCACATCCTACCTCTCATAGATGCCTTTTGCTTTGAGTAATTTAAGTGTTATAATCAAAGTTTCCTCTTCTTTTTTTGGAGACAACGACAAATACGCAAGAAGAAACCTCATCCCAATCCATCACCAGTGTAATTTGCACTACACCAAACATGGGTACAATATAATTAGCAAAATCTGTCACAATAATTTATTTTGGGTTTAAAAGGCTGAATAGTCACAGCCTCCTAACAAGATGAGATTAAAAAAGCACACAGCTAAGAGCCAATGTATATAATTTCCCTTTCGCTCTCCCTCCCACTACCAGCTCTTATTAATTCAGTCATTCTACCTTGGTGCACATTTACTCATTCATGCAATGTGAATGCTCCACCAAGAAAAGTGTTGAATATGGATCCCTCCCATTTTTTTAAACTTGCCACGAAATGTAAGGGCTGAACCAGAAATGAGACGAAATGCTTCCACATTTGCATTAGGATGGTTAACACTCCCCTAAACAGATAAGCATCCAGTAATATTAATTACAGGAACAGCAAGATTCAAATAGTCATAAATCATTAGACGGCATAATATAAACTCCCTGAAACCTTATCAAAAATTAATTTTGCATGACTTTAGAAGACTGTCTTCCTGGTTACTGCTTTTCTACCTCATTTATATGGTGCCTGTTAATGTAACAGTAGGGGGGAACGTTCCGTGCTTGATTGAGAGGCACAGATAATAACCCAGCAGCAAAGACTGATTCCCTTCCTCGAAAGCTAGAGTTCAGTAGTACTAAACTCTTAGGGTTTGTCTACACTGGCCCTATACTCTGCACTGGGCCAAAAGTCATTCTTGGATATCTACATAAAGCTGAAGATACTGCAGATCCTGGAACCAAGTTCAGTGCATCTTATCACTCCCAGAACTTTGACTCAGTTCCTGAGATTGGCATGTGATCAGTTTCGTATTCAAATTGCTTCTTTCTCGGCCACTGTCCTCCCATATGGAGTAATCAGTGTACATATGCCCCAGATCTTACCACAACTTACATATGCCCCATCATTAAGAGATCAGAGTTTCATTGAGTAGCTCCACACTCTGAGGTTAGTGTTGACAACTGGACAATCTCTAAATCAAACCAGTCAATTGTCCACATGACCAGATGCTGCCATCCTATTTCTCTGCACTGGGAATTTAGATGGAGATGGATCAGGCCTGTATAATCGTCCCACTGCTGTGGCGGACTGCCATGAAGAAGGTTCTCAACCTTTGGTTATCCAGATGTTCTGGACTTCAACACCCAGAAATCCCAGCCAGTTCACTAGCTGTTAGGAATTGTGGGAGGCTGGATGGCCATCTGTCAGGGGTGATTTGAATGCAAAATTCCTGCTTCTTGGCAGGGGGTTGGACTGGATGGCCCATGAGGTCTCTTCCAACTCTTTGATTCTATGATTCTATGATTCTATGAGCTGAAGTCCAAAACATCTAGAGGGCCAAAGGTTGAGAACCACTGCTCTAGCGAGTTCCTGGCCATTGTTGGTCGCTTTTGCTGACTTCAGCAAAGGCACTTGGTGGTGGCCATGAGCTCTCTGGTGTTTTGGGACCAGCAATAGATGATATCCAAGATGTGAATGTCCAAAGGGGCTGAAGCAGTTTTAGTCTTGCCGGTTGGGCTGGACTCCATCCTCGCACCAGAGCGAAATGGAGATGGGAAGTGCAGCCACTCTGGAGCTGGTTAGAATTA